CTACTATAATTCATTAGGAGAGCAACGAAATTTGTTTTGGTTAATTTTATCCTGTCATTTGTCAAAATCAATAGCATATCGGATATTATTCTTTCTACACTCATCAGCACGAAAAACGGACACCTTAAAATTTAAATGTACATAGATAAAAATATCTTAAAAATGAGTTTCAATTTTCGGTATTTTACAAACAAAAGCTTTATTCAGTTTGATTCAATTTGTTTTGTTTAATTTCACACTTCTTAAACACGATTATCCCGCATTGAGCCGAACCATACGACAAGAAAAAGAAAAAAGCGCCTAAGAAAGCAATTAAAGCAAAACGGTTTCTGTATTTTACACGGAACAAGAGAAACCGAAACTGTGTTTATTTTGCTAATAAAATTTGATTAGTACATTGTTTCACAATAGGTATTCACGAATCTATTGTCCTTCGAGGTCTGGTGATAGATAATAGAAAGTGAAATATTAGAGGAAAAAGTTTGACAATTTAAATGACTCAGCTCTTAATTTAAAGAAATTGTCGGTGAAAGGTTGGTATTGGTTTCTGGTATTTTGGACCAAATCACTAACCCTAATATTATTTATAATAATTATTTCTTTAAAAATATTCAACGTGTTCAGGGGAAAACAGAAAATAAGCTATTATCAGATTTCAGTTTTGTTATAATGAATAATATAATTAAAATTGTACTGTTATATTTAAAACAAAATACAGTGGCCAGTTTTCTAATTCGGATATTCGCCAAATCAAACACTTCAGTAGATATACAAGGGTTGTCTTTTATATTTAACATAATTAAAAAACATATTCAATATCTATAGCATCAGTTAAAATTTCTCCATACTGTAAAACTTGGAAAATAAGTTGGTTATAATAATGGTTTTATAATTCGGAAACTCTCTATTTATTTATCTAGTAATGCTAAAACACTCTATTTTAAAGTCGATTAGAGAAAATAGTATGATTCATTGGCAAGCGATGTAAATATTTGTGATCAGGTAAAATTGTGATGTAAGAGGAGGCTTAGCTTGCCGGTGGGAGTCAGTAGTAGACGGGCCGGCCGGCTGTTGTGTTGTGTTTTGTCATAGAGCTGACATTTGGGGGTTGCGACTCTTTTGACTATAAATGTTGCATGTACTGTAAGGCAACGGGTCGTTTGACCAGAAGAAAACATCTTGTGACGTCTTGCCTTCGAGGTTGGTCTTGAGAGTTTGAGGTCTCCCTTGTCTTCTCGATCGACACGATGCGGCGTTGGGGTAGTGAGGTACCCCAGTTAGCCTATTCGATTGGGATGCGAATCTGTTTAGAGGCAGATTTGCGTCCGGGGAAGCCCCTATACTATTTTAGGTGACACTAGCTAGTTGTTGAAGATTATTAACCAATAAATAGATCCGAATAATATTTGAATTAGATGGAATATATGGAATGTGATATATTGAATAGAATGTCAGTGATGTCAGTGGTTAGGGGGCGGAGTACCCCCGGGTGAGTCTTCCTATTTAACTACCAATTTTATCCAGATCAGTAAATGTTTGTTTTGTTATTTTCATCTACAATGAGAGAGTGCTTGCCAATGACCAACTAAATGGATATATGAGGTGAATTTGCATTGTAAAACCCGGTTGAGTAAGCCCCAGATATAAGCGATTTTACAATACACATACAGGTCGTTGACAGGTCTGAATCTGCAGATCGCTTGAATTTCACGGCCGACTATGGCGAAAAATCGACAGTTCTAATCGCACGTTCGCATATTTTGACAAGTTGGAAATTTTGTACTATCAAGATGAGCGATTTAATTAATAATACGACATTTTTAGCCGATTTTATTGATTGGTAGTTTAAAAATTGCTGAAATTTTATACAACATACAACTATTGATTCTGTAAAGAAAAAGAATAAATAATCTGCGAAAGCTTTCAGGTATACCGTTTTTGTATTTTTCTTTGATATTAAGGGCTTAACAATCTTTAAAAGTTTATTAAAACACGTGACATTCACTCTGAGGTAGTTTTTAAGGTCATCTGTTGCAGTAGTTCTTAATTTTCGCACTTCATATGAGATAATGTATCACGTTGTTCACCAATCTTCCACCCAGAGACGCTTTTTTGTCTTTGTAATTGGCTCTTGAAATAACAAAAGCCCGAGAGTATATTTTTTGTATTTAAAAACATTTTTCACTTCAAAGTGATTTGATTAAAACTAACGATAAGTTTCTGTGTGTGGTGAAAGCACAGTTTTCCTTCAGTTCAAAAACTGACAGTCCCAAAACTGAAGATCGCATCGTTCGACGTAAGTGCATTGTGTGTGGCCTGACAAAGTTCAGCTCTTCAGTTCAGATCGTACAGTCCTAGAACTGCCGGCGAACTGTATGGGAATGGGCACCTTTAGTATTAGCGACGATCCAAGAACAGACCCACGAACAACGACAGTCACGCAGGAAAAAGATGGTGATGAATCCTGGATATACACTTATGAACCCGAACGTAAACGTTAATCGGCTGTTTGGGTTTAGAGATGAACCAAATCCGACGAAGGTTATCCCTTCTCGAAGTGTTTCCAAAAAGATGGTGGCCGACATTTGTCTCCAAAGCGGGTCGCAATTCTCTGAAAGATCAAAGAACTGTTACTGCTGATTGGTACATATCTATTTGTTTGTCGAAGTAATTGCTTAGTTTAAACCAACCCTCAACAACGAATGATCTTCCACCAAGATAATGCAAGTTTCCACACAGCTCGAAAAACAATACATCGAATTGTTGGACCATCCTCGATACAGCCCCGACCGAAGTCCTAACGACTTTTTTATTTTTCCAAAAACTAAGAACGAACTGCATGATATAAAAAGCGTAATTTTGAAGGTACCAACAAGCTGCCCAAGAGCTCCTTGCAGAATTGGTTCCAACGGATACAATGCATTTTTCTTTGTGGAGAATACTTCGAAAAACAATAGTGTTTAAGAAGTATCTTACTATTTGTTTCGACCTCTATATGCAAAATATAAAAGACAACCCCCTTATATTCTGCATCCCTTATAAACTGGACAATTTGATATTTTTACCCCTTTATTACACCTCTTTTTACCTCTTTATTAACAAAATTCAAAGGCAAATTAAAAAAAAATAAGTTCGAATTTTTAGTTTTAGAACTAGGGTTTAAGGGGTTCCAATTTTCGGGATCACGATCCCAGTATTGACTATCAGAATGAGAATCTAAAGAAAATGAGAAAATAGCTTTATTAAAATAGCCAAGACAAACTAACATTCATATTTAGTAAGTGAAAAAATACGATTCTTGTTGCAAAAAAAAATAAAGCAAACACGAAAATATAACTTTTAGATATTGACGTTTTTCTCAGACTAAAGTGTATAAAGTCAAATCATTTTAGGTTAGGCATTGAAATTCTCGAGATTTTCGGGATCCCGGAATTTAATATCGGGATTTCGCATATTTCACATATTTAAACTCTATCTATTCTCAGGATTTCATTTTATATTTTTTAAAAATTCTGAATAATTTTTAATGTGTACGTAATTTTGCAAAGAGCATAGAAATATTAACCGATAAATTTACTATAAATTTTATATTTTTCCAGCATTTTCAATATTCAGGAAACAAAAGATCACTAAATAATAATAATTTATTCTATTTAGAAATTGGGATACCTACTTGAGGCCGTGAAAATTATATGATCATGATCATCTAGGTCGCAAATCTTGACCTTGTGTTTAAAATTTATTGAGTCTTTCGACCAAATGGATACAAAACTAAAACAATTAGGTATTACTACATTATATTTTTTAAAAATGTTGCAACTATTATGTTTATTAGTTTCTTAACATTAATGAATTATAGGAGGCAAATTATTTTATCAATCAAAAAATGTAATAAAAATAAAAAAGAGTTTTTCGTTTGATCAAGATTTTGTTGATTGACTTGCCCATTTTACTATTAGCTAACTAAATACAATTTTATTTATCACTGTACATCTTTTCATAATTTAAAATACTTCAAATTTGTTTAAAGAATAAAATAGGGTGACGTAAATAATTAATTATAGTTTTTTATTCAAAAAATTGTCTGCTTTTCGGGTTTAAACAAAACGAAGAGAATAATTAAATTGTGTTTAATTTTTTGTCTAAAAACGCAAATAATAGTTAATGATATAAACATTTACGCAATTCTTGCTTCCCATTGAACGTATTTCAACTTAAAGCAATAATTACAATCTTTAATGTTTTTAAAAATATAGGTATAGAGTTTAAAAAATCTATAAAAATTAAAAATATAATGTTAACAGATCATTTTAATCCACCATTGATAAATTTCTTTAATAGTTACTAATTCATTAAAGAAATTAATTACATATTTACAAAAAAAATATTCGGAGAGATCAAAGGTAGATATGTATAGGTATATATTTTTTTCTTTGAATGAAGTCAGTAATAGAATTATCGTAATAATATTTTTTTTATTCCATAAAATGTAAATTATAATAATGATAAATAAAAACATTTAAGTTTTTTACGTCTGTGAGACAAGTTGTCAAATATTTCTACTTCCCCATGATATATTCTATAAAATTATAATCCTATTATGATCACAAGAATTAAAACTCTCCAAAATTCACTGCAGCCCTTATTGTTTCAAAAGTTTTAACTGAATCTGCTAAAATTACTCGACCCCCCCCTCCATTATTGAATTATAGTAGACATTCTTAATCACAAATATTAAACATTAAGCAAATGTAATCTTCTAGGAATATCAAAACTAAAGCACTATTCTGTGACTAAAGAACTGACCACTGAACCACTTTAAAATGTTTCAAGTGGATTATCAAACTATGGACGCCAAAAATAAAGGACCAAAATATTAAATTTGTAAATCAAAAGGTAATTTGAGTAATCTAAAGTATTCCCAGAAGATTACATTTAACCACCTTGTCACAAAGATATGGGTCTTAATGAATTAAGTAAGGCAAAATAAAGTAAATTACATGTTTTACTCAAAAATCCTTGTTGGGACCAAAAGTCCCCTTTCCCGACTGCACCAAACCGACGAACAAATAATACAATTCCAAGTCAATTATCAAGGACTCCTGCACACACGGATAATCCTTAAATAGGGAAAAATAACACCACCGTCAAAAAAATCCGGTCGCAACCGCCACAAAAGTCTCTAGTCCTCGCGCGGGTACCACAAAACTCATGCCAGGCACATGCTATTTCGTGTAGCTCCCGCACAGATCCTGCCGCCTAGTCCTCAAGCTAGCTGACGTCTATAATCTGACGGACGTACCAACCACGATCTCTTACCGACCACCGGAGCGCTCTTCAGCGCCGGAAGAAAGACTAGACTTGGCGCGAAGCGGACCCGCCAAACCACGGTGGGCACTCACGGCTTCACTCGCATTCGCCGTACTCATGGGCGGGGTGGTGGGGCCAGGCACAACGAACGCGGAATCTACGCGCGAAACACTCTCGTTTTTACCGGTGCTCGGCGGAGTGGACCGCGGCGGTGGTTTTCGCCAATGCCGGAAATCCACCGGTCGCGGCTGTAGCTGTCGAACGATCGACTAGGACGATGGTGATGATGGTCCGTTCGTTCGATGGTCCTGCTGGCTCGGTTCTGCTAGTTGTTGTTGTTTGGCGGTCTTTGTTTTAAGACAGTGGCGTGGAGGCGTCGAATTAATTTAAACACTTTTAGTTTAAAATTTCTAAATTAATTTTAATAGAAATTTAGTACAAGAAGTGATCTCATATGAACACTAAAACAATATTAAATACAGGGTGTCCCAATATTCCGTAGACATAGAACTACTACATTATTTTTGGAATCAACACAATTTAGCTCGATACAAAAGTGCTTCGTTTGTCCGCTAGAGGGCATCAAATTTTAAAATAATACAACATTTATTAGCCGACCATACCAATAGGTATGGTAGGCTATTAAGATCGGCAAAAAAAAAGTTTTTTTTTAATTTCACTCAAAATGACCCCATACAGCACATCAAATCACACTTACGATGTGTTTACATTATTAGATGTAGACACAGGGTGACACAATTCCCCCGATGTAAATATGCTACATTTACACATTGTAGTTCAACACGTATGCACAAAGGTTAAACGTCCGCCTCACAATGTAGCCAGAGTATAGCATTTACGTATACACAAAGTAAGGGATACACAGTGTGCCGTAGGATACACAGTGCTTGTGTATTACGTTTAAACTATGTTTACACATTGCAGTTGTGACTACCTTACTGTTTTAAGTAAGTTAAGTTTGTAAGTTGTGACTTACTTACTACCTACCTGTATTTTGCTTCGTATATACATCTTGTGCTAGATAAAACTACTTCTTAGGAACGAATTTAGAACTTTTCGTTCTTTTTAAGAAATATTTATTCAATGACACCAATTATATCTTTTTAGAACGAAAATTAGGAAGGCAAAACTTTGTATTTTCCAAAAGTGTCTCGATCGTAAGTTCAAGAGAAGTAGCCTTAAAATTGTTCCATTTTTGTTTTCGTATTAAATGTACCATTTTTCTTCCATAAAATGGATTAAGTGGTTAAAAAATAAAATTCTTATATTTATTTATATCATGGAACGCAATAGCGCAAATAACACAATAATAATAATTATTTACACTGCAGAAACCAGAAGTAAGAAAACACTGTAAAAGAACAGAATTTGTATCAAAATGTGTTAAAAATATAAGTACCTAGTATAACAACATACTAAAATGGTAAACACTGGTATATCGCCACGATTTGGTGGACCTCGTTTAATCATTTTTTTCTCCTCTTTTCCCTCCAAGCAGTTGGTTTATTTGCATATTCATTCATCGAGCACTCTGTTGGACTTTGTTGTATTTTATTTCCAGATTAACAATCTCATCCTTAAATTTTATATGAAACTGGTTATTGAATATTAAACATATCTGTATATTGATCCATCAATAACTTACCGAGTATCAGTGTAACAAGTTCTTTGAAGTGCTCTGGTTCATTTAGATTTTTATTAATTCCAAATTAAAAAAAAAATATATTGCAGAGCTAACTCAGCTAACCTTTTTATTATTATACGAGAATATTTGGAGTTTTCATTCATTGGAGTCAACATTTGGTAAATTGGGTATCGAGTAAGGGAAGAGTCGCTGCTAAAATATTAATAATACTCTTAGGAAGGTGTAACAAGGTAATTAAAAACTTGTACTTACCTCAAACTCTCTTTTAAATTACACACAAACAGAACATTAATATAGAGCTTCCGAATGATAAAACAATAATGGCTGCTAACACATACCACTCCTAGAAAGGAGAAAGGAGAGAGGACACATAAGATACACCTGGTCGGTGTGTCTACGCTGAGGCTATCCGCGCGTGCGCACACCTTCATTTCATGCTCGAATGTAGACACAACAGTACACTATTACAAAGTGTCTATATAGATATTTATATTATGTGTGCACGTCACATTTTTACAAGGTGTGTACTATAGGCACAACTATGATACGAAGTATTACAAATACATATGAAGGCGGATTCTCACGACTGGCGTACTTGACAAATATTTGTTATTGGAATATACTTGCCATGTCGTGAGAACGGGTTCCTTGGTCACTTGTCGCGTCCCCACTCTCTGTCGGTAAATATATCCTGAGTCAAACCATTAATCGTACACTTGCCAAGTATACTTGGCCAGCCTGGGCCAGCCTTGTTTAGAATGGCCGAAGGGCAAAAAAACGACTGCGCAAATAATGTTACTGTTATAGCATATGTCCGATTTATTTCCGGATCGTAGTGTTTTTCGAGTTAATTGCTGATAATTTAAAACGGTAAAACAATAATAGATTATGTAATATCAAATTTACATTAATAACTTCAATATTGGCGACATACCTAAATCGTTTTCACAGCAATAAATGGAGTGGACAAATGAAGATTACACGGGAAAAACCAGATATGTCACATTTTCATAGAAATTAAGATAGCGATACAACTTTATAGACAAATGTTAACGTCATTCGAAAAAAGAAAGCAATAATACGCTTAGTCCCAGAGATATTACAGCTTGGTTATTTTGCCGTACAAAGGAAAAACCAGAGTAGTCCACGAGTAAATGGCAAAAACCAGAGATGTACAGTTGTACAAATATAGGAAGAGACTTGGGGATAGCACCGGTCGCATGTTATTTTATATTTCTTACGTCTCTAGCTATACTTTGTTAAGTTGTACTTACGCATGGGCGACAAGCATGCATTTTGCAATTAGTATTATATTATTAAAACAAGGGATATTACAGAAAATAAACGTCGAAAATCAAAAACACAAATAAATTTATTCCGCTCGAAACTTACAATAAACAACAATAATCTCGACTGACCGAAAAACATAGATGAATAAAAAAATCTCTCAAAAACATCATCTGACACGATCGATAGAAAAATATTATCCTTTTGTAACAATCTTAAAGGTATACACATACGTAATTAATTTATGTACGTATATATGGAATATTTTTTTCGTTATCAATATGTTATAAATTTATGTATTGTAATAAAAACCTACTTAAATATTAATTTTCAACAAAAAAAATAATAGTTTAGATTTAGGTTTTATACAACCTTTAATTAATTGAACATCCATGATTTTCCCCTGTTTTGTTTTGCATTATGACTATTTTTTTTAGATTATCTACTTAGATTTTTATTTCAATATTTCAGAATATGGCGATAATTCACAATATTAATAATTCAGAATCGGTAGTAATATATATTTTTCTAATTATTCAACCAAAAATAACATATTTCTTTAAAAACACTTAATTGCATTTTTCTCGGCTCCAATTAAAAGGAACAAAACGGTTTCCCGTGTAGTCTTCAAATGTTGTTGCTTTGGGAATTTATGGATTTATACGAAAATGAGCCCTTCATATCGATGGCCAAACATAAAGAACATAGAAATCGTATTGCAGTGTACAGTAAAAGAACTTAAAAAGAAAAAAGAATCACTAGCACCGACAATTTCGGGACGACCAGTATCCATCGATGCGACTATACTGTTTACTTGCCAAGGATTGTAGGGGTACTTGGCAAATACGCAAATATTGGCGTACTTGCCAAGTACACTTGCCAATGTAGTACAAAGTGGGGACTGGTGGGGATACTTGCCAAGTACGCAAATATTGGCGTACTTGTCAAGTACGCCAGTCGTGAGAATCCGCCTTGACTTATACATTGTATGTCTCATATACCGACGTCAGATTTCGTCATTTTAATAATTATTTGTTACGTTACAAAAAAAACTCTTTAGAATCTTGAGTGCATACGGTATACAACTAGTAAACACTGTATCACACAATTCTATCAATATAAACCTGCGTGTATCTCATATGTATATGTTAGAACTAGATGAACACTAAGGTTCACTTTAACATATTTTGTTTCTCATGTGTCTCCCTTGTAGAAACGTAATTTCATTTGGACGTGCTATATGGGACTTAACGCATTTCACTCAAAAGAACTTCAACGCATAAGTCACAGAACAGCTATCTAGCAACTACCGCACCTGATCGTTCAACCTTGTGGCAAGTGAAAAAATGCGTAAACATCTAGAAATAATAAGAAAAAACAGCAAATTGGTCGAAGGAATTTATCCTTATCATTTACTCTGATAAATGTTTAAATAAACTTTTCAAATTTCAATCCGTCATATTTTCTCAATGACTCGACCGATTTTCAAAATCGAAGCAGGAAAGTATAGAGAATAGAAAGCCCATTTCATTGCGGTACCACTTGACCCCCCTTCCTATTTGAAAAAAATTGGGGGATGGCACCCCCGCTTAGGTGTTGAAGATTTTGGAACCATTTTTGGGGCAAAAGTTGTCTCCCTCACAAACAAAATTGACGTGTTTTTGAATTTTCTGAAAAAAAAATTACCCTGGCCGTTATGCCTTGCGGAACGTTTTCGATGGGCCACCCTGTATATACAGTGTGACCCACTCAAGACCGGGCACCCTCCATAAAATCTGTGTTTATAGTCCGATTTTGATGATTTTTTTTTCAAATATAAAGTTTCAAAAAATGTACTATAGGGCTCAATGTCATGTTATTTCACAAAAAACAAGGCCTACTTAATAAAGTTTTTGTGGTGAAAAATTTGCAAAATCATATTAGCGATTTTTTTTCAAAAAAATTGAGTACACCCCTACATTCGGCATCCCCCAAAACAGTTCTGTACCAAATTTCGTTTAAAAATATTAATTATTAATAATTCTGCAGTTAAATTAAATAATTCCCTATTTTTGCCAATTTAACGATGAGTTATAACGTAACCCTTGAAAAAAACAATCCACAACAATGGGTTTTATTAGCTGTCAATTCTTGCAGCGTAGAATTGAATATTAATTTAATAGCACGCAGAAAAGTGTTGTATCA